AGTCCTCAGGCAGCACTAATAATAGTCTAATAACTAGTCACAATTTTTATATTTTTAAAGTTTTTAATTTAATTTGGTGTCTATCCAGTTTAGAAACCAAACAAGACACTGGTTTAATAATCTGAAGCCACAGCATCAGTCAACACTTAGGACAGAAAAAGGACAGCACATAAAGGACATTAGACCCTCAGAGCAGCAGTCAAACCACTTGAAGTTTATTCTCCAGTAAAGCCATATGGCAGAACTGAGAAACCACACACCTCCCCCTTCCACACAGTCTGAGCTTGAACTGCCTTCAGGGAAGACACACACTGTGGCACTTTGGTAACACCTAAGTCACTGTATGAGTAGCAGCAAGTCAAAACTGACTTTTGATTCACTAGTTGGGATATTAGTCAAAGCTTAACTGTACTAGAAAGGTTTTCCTACTGAATAAGCACTAAAACTCATTCAACTACTACAACAGTTGATTTAGCTCAATCACCAGCTGTTTCACAAGAACAGTGTGGGACCACATCAGTGTTTCTAAGTTTACACATTTTCCAGATCTCTCAGCACTCAGAAAAAAATGCTTCTTATTTTAAGAAATTTCAGCACCAACATATTCTTCTCAAACTTATGCACAATCTCCATCACTGAATGGGGATAAAAGAAATATAATTGCTTTAATATCATTTTTTTCCACCCAAACTAGCAGAAAATACTCATGCAATATTTTTTTTGCTGCAAGATTTGAATGCTAAACTTAGATGCTACACAAAGCAATAATGGGCATATTAACATGCCCAATTATTGCAATATTGAAAACTTTAAAAACTTTTTTGTCTGTTTTGTGCTTTCTCCCTCAATAGTGATTAATGCTTATAAAGAAAAAGATGAGATTCTGATCTCCAAGTCTTGCCACTCAAAAAAGGAGAAGAACTTATGATTTCATTTATGTTAGACTCATTAAATTTTCTTTATCATGGTTTATTTTACAAGCTAGAGCCCTCAGACTTCCCAAAGCTGTGGATTTATCATTACTGATTCTGTGGAAATAAAATAACTTCACCAAATGTTCACCATACTGAACAGTCCAACTCCTCTGCTCAGATGTACAATGCTAAAAGCTCAGAGAACAGAGCATGAAAGGACAGGACAAGGGGGATGGCTTCAAACTGAAAGCAAGTAGGTTTAGACTGGATATCAGGAATAAATTCCTTCCTGTGAGGGTGGTGAGGCACTGGCACAGGTTGCCCAGAGAAGCTGTGGAAGTGTTACGGGCCAGTCTGGATGGGGCTTGGAGCAGCTGGTCTAGTGGAAGGTGTCCCTGCCCATGGCAAGGGCTTGGAACTAGATGGTTTTTTATGTCCCTTCCAACCCAAACCATTCTGTATTCCATGAAAAGCCATGCAGATGCTGGGATATTTAACCCTTTAGAATTACATGCTGTGGAAACCAGAGAACCCATATTCTGTACCAGTTTGGAATAAAGGCTGTTGAGAAAACCAAATTATTTCTCTTTGATGCAGTCCTTACTTTCTGTTTGTTAGAGAAACAAACCAAAACAGAATATTCCGTACAAAATCCCATTTTTTTTTTG